CTTTAGTACTAGCCTGAAAATGCTGATTTATTTTTGCATGCCCTACAGTGCCTGGCAAATATTGTGGGGAGGGTGGGAAAAAAAAACTTGTTACATGAGGAAGTGAGCAGAGGAGCTGTCCGTGCACACTATGACAAATAAATCATGAGAATTCCCTGGCCTGAATTTCTCTCACCAAAACAGTGACAGTCTTAACAATGGCCATCCTAAAATCACAAAGGTTTTTTGGCTGAAAGAGAAAATACAGATCAGAGGACTTTGGGCCTTGAAGAAGGATGGTAGATGATTTCAAGAGATTATTACAATGTACCACACTTAATGTGTAAAACCCCAAAGAAACCTAAGAGAGCAGGAAAGTGAGACGTGAGAGGATGCTTATTCAGTTGCTCTGACCAGAAATCTTGTTCTCTGCAGTTGCCAGAAATGCCGTTCTCTCTTATTCTCATAACAAGCCTAAAAAGCGGGCATACTCTCGCTCCTTTTTTTCAGATGGGAAACCTGAAATGCAGCAAGTGTAAGCAGCTTTTCCGACCATCTGGTTTCAAAGCCTAATCTGTTTCTACAGCACCGTATTAATTTGCAAGGGCCAATTCCGCTTACATTTCTGCACTATAGATCTGTCCCTGTAGAAAAACTCCCCAGGGTTCTTCTCAGCAAGACCCAGAACCACCCACGTGAGCCAATGGAGATTCAAGAATATCTGGGCTGATTTGGAAAGAGCATCATCTTCGGATGGCTGTGAGGTAATGAAGTCCAAAATACGCCAGCTGGGAGTACCCAGAGGACAATAGACTAACGAAGCCAGCCTCGTCCTTCTGGTTCCCAAACCTGACGGGACTGTTCAGTGTTGCATAGACTTCAGCTGGCTCCGTGCATGGCCGGTGCCAACTGCAGAAGCATTTCAGAAATAACTAAGCAAAGCCAAATTCATAATCAGCTAGAGATGATTCAAGGCTCCTGGCATTTCTTCCCCAGCCTTTATTCCCAGGAAGAGATGGTATTTACTATGACCTGGGTGCTGTATTTTTTATAACCTGGGGAGTATTTTAAAAGCAGGGGTTAAGGTACATAAACTTTTAAGTCTTTTAGCAGCAGATTTCAGAGACTTTGAGGTTGTATAGGGAGAGGACAGAAAGTGGGTTGCTAAGTGCTGCTTCGGGCTGAAATGTGAAAGAAAAATACTTTTCTTATACAGTGGAAATGCTAAATCATAGTCTTCTAATACATCTAATATATCAAGGGAGCAGGTTCCAAAGCTTTTGGTTGGTTTCTTCCTATTTATCTGTGGTAAAGGCCGATCTTTGTGAGAGAAAAATACAAGTCAGCTCAAAACTGAGAAGTCTGTAGGTGGCTGCCTTTGGGAAATGCAAATCGAACAACCTCTTGGATGAGATTCCTGTCTGCTCCACCACCTTTTCAAGATGTAAGTTGTCCAACAAGTCGTCTTTATTTGGTTTCAAAATCTTACTCAAGTTCTGAGCTGTGGTAAACTCTGATGATACTGGATGATCCTTTACTGATAAGATACATTTGATAACTTTTTTGATCTTTAAAAAGCAAACAGCAGGCCAGGTGTGGTGGCTTACTCTATAATCCCAACACTTTGGGAGGCCTAAGAGGCAGGCGGATCACCTGAGGTCAGGAGTTTGAGACCAGCCTGACCAACATGGAAAACCCTGTCTCTACTAAAAATACAAAAAAATTAGCTGGGTGTGGTACCACATACCTGTAATCCCAGCTACTTGGGAGGCTGAGGCAGGAGAATCGCTAGAGCCAGGGAAGCAGAGGTTATGGTGAGCCAAGATTTCACCATTGCACTCCAGCCTAGGCAACAAGAGCCAAACTCTGTCTCAAACAAACAAACAAAACAGCAGAATGTCAAACTTTGTAATATATAATCTCAATCACACAAAGAAGTCTGTATCTGCATTGAATGGTAACAAAGAATCTGAATGTTAACAGTAGCTAATTATGGAATTACAAGTCATTTTTATTTTCTTCCTTATACTTATCTGTTTGCTAAATTCTTTTAAAAAAGCAGAAAATTTTGGCTGGGCGCCGTGGCTCACGCTTGTAATCTCAGCACTTTGGGAGGCCAAGGCAGGAGGTGGATCACTTAAGGTCAGGAGTTCGAGACCAGCCTGACCAATATGGAGAAATCCTGTCTCTACTAAAAATATAAAATTTGCTGGGCATGGTGGCTCATGCCTGTAGTCCCAGTTACTCGGGAGGCTGAGGCAGGAGAATCACCTGAACCCGGGAGGCAGAGGTTGTGGTGAGCCAAGATTTCACCATTGCACTCCAGCCTAGGCAACAAGAGCAAAACTCCATCTCAAAAAACAAAAACAAAACAAAACAAAAACCCAGAAATTTCAAGCCCATTCTCATTGGAGAAAAGAAAAGGAGAGAATTGCCTTTATAAGCAGAAAAAAAAGTTATTTGAAAAAAGTCAAGCTACTCCTGCAGCAGGAGACATCATCCATTATAAATTCGGCTATTAAATGAGAAACTTAAGATGTGAAAGACCAGAACGATTTTAGATTTTGAGTAGGAAGGTTTTAAGGAAGACAAGGAACACTGCAGGTCCTTATTATTTTCTTTTTCTTTTTTTTTTTTTTGAGACGGAGTTCCGCTCTTGTTACCCAGGCTGGAGTGCAATGGCGCGATCTCGGCTCACTGCAACCTCCGCCTCCTGGGTTCAGGCAATTCTCCTGCCTCAGCCTCTTGAGTAGCTGGGACTACAGGCACGCGCCACCATGCCCAGCTAATTTTTTGTAGTTTTAGTAGAGGCGGGGTTTCACCATGTTGACCAGGATGGTCTCGATCTCTTGACCTTGTGATCCACCCGCCTCGGCCTCCCAAAGTGCTGGGATTACAGGCGTGAGCCACCGCGCCCGGCCGGTCCTTATTATTTTCTTAATCAGATGGGGTCCAGGCGTTATTATTATTTTTGTTTTGGAGACAGGGTCTTGCTGTATCACCCAGGCTGGAATACACTGGCACAATCTCAGCTCGTCGCAACCTCTGCCTCCCGGTTCAAGCGATTCTCATGCCTCAGCCTCCAGAGTAGCTGAGACTACAGGTGGGTGACACCATGTCTGGCTAGTTTTTGTATTTTTAGTAGAGGTGGTCTTTCGCCATGTTGGCCAGGCTGGTCTCAAACTCCTGACCTCAAGTGATCCACCCTCCTGGGTCTCCTAAAGTGCTGGAATTATAGGCATGAGCTACTGCACTGGGCCTGTCCAGGAGTTGTTTGTGTCTGACTCTCTTATTTCACAAAACAAAACAAAGTATTTGCAGGAAACCAGGTTTATAGAAAGTCGTGTCATGAGCAAAGTCACAGACACTTCTAAATATGTTGCCTGCTCTCTAAGAAGCCAGCTCCATGGCTCTGAACCTTGTAGATAGGAAAATGTGGACTAACATGGAAAGCGTGATTTCTTTCTCACCGTGATGACCTGTCCTGCAGGCTTGCTGGGAGCAGTAGAAAGGATATAAGATTCAATCATGCCGAGTTCCAACTGTAGCTCTGCCATAACCAGTTGTGTGACACTGGGCAATTCACGCAACTCTGTGGCATCTCCACCCTTGTTTGCAAATGAGCTCTGCCCCCAGCTCTAGGATGTTTTTCCTGGCTGGATAAAATGGCTTGCCTGGATAAAGTCCAAGATTGGAGACCACCCCACTTTAATGTCGAACTGGGCCACTCCTTCCCTGGAACAGCCACTTAATGTCCTCAAACATACTAGGGTTTCCTCATCCCTTGGTTTCAGGGATCCTCCCTCAGGAAGATGTTGCAAGGACTGACTAATGCACACGAGTGTCCCAATAACAATGATGCGTGCTGCAGGTGCTGGGAGTTTCAAGTAGACCCCACTGTGACCTCAAGGCCACCTTTCTGTCCTGCATCTGGGGCTTCCCGTCCCACCCTATGTGATTACAACTTAAGTCTCAGATGATGTCAAATACTTCTCCCAAAGACCCGGATGCATTCACAAGAATGGGCTGATAGGTACAGCTAGTTCACATAGGAGGGGGAGTCCACTTTCAAGGGAGCAAGAACACCTTCTTCAGTGCCCCCTCGGAGAACACACCTGACATCTTTATCTCTCCCAGAAACGCCTGATAACATCGCCCACATGGAAGGATACTCCAACGCTTCCTCTTTCAGTCCAGAGAAAATGAATTCTCCCAGTTTTCCTTGGGGTTTGTCTTGTTTTTAACTTTCACACGTTAATTTCTGGGGGTTCACCTTCCTCATTCCATACAGCACCGATCAAGAACTCACCTCTGATCCTCATGCGATGCGCTGTAACCACCGCCCCTCCGCCACCACCCCACCATTCACAGGGCAATTCAGAAGGTGGGGGAGGTTGAGGTGGGAGTTTCCTGGGCAACCGGGCGCACACCCGCGCTCACACGGAAAGGAAAAGCTTTGCTGTCTACCCAGGTGTGTCCTGAACACCTGCGAACCTGTTGCGTGGCTCGCCACAGGTCGGTCCTGTCTCGTGCACCGGCCTGGAGACACCTGGGAGCAGGTGATTTCCCCAGATCCGCGCCCTTCGCTTTGAGACAAGAGTGGGCGACCGGCGGGGCTGCGGCGGCCGCAGCTGGAGGGCTGCGTGGTCCCAAGTACGGAGCCCTTTCCCGACTCCAGCGGTCCCTGAGCCCTTTCCCGCCTCAGCAGTCCACGCATCCGGGTCGCGACATCGCAGTCGTGCGGCTGGAGACCCCATGGGACGCGCCGCAGAAGCCCCCAGGGACCCAGCCGGAGCAAGTAGGGGACTGGGGACCCTGCACGGCCCCTCCGCGCCCTCCCGCCCGGCGCCCGCACTTGCTCCCGGGTCCAGGGCAGCCGGCTGGAGAGGGGCGGGAGGCGGGCGGCCCGTATGCAAATATCCAGCGGGGCCGGGGCCGCCTCCCGCGCCCGGGATAAAAGGCGGGGCGGGCCTCGGGGCCGCGAAGCCGCTGCTTCTCGGGAGCTGGCCGTGCGCTCTGGCCCCGCAGCCCCGACCGCTCCGCCCGCGCCCCGCCGGCTCCCGGTAAGGACGGGCAGTGGAATGGGGACCCAAGGCGGGGGCGGGGTGGGGACACAGGCACCAGGCCAGGCAACCGGCGTTCTTCGGTCCGGCTGCACCCCTGCCCGCGCTTTCCCACTAGGAACGTGGGCAGCGGGCGCCTTCCCGCGCTCCCCCGCGTCCCAGCAGGTGCATCTCCGCAGGTGCTGCGCGGGACCGGTTCGTCCCCGGGCCGTGGGCGGTCAAGGCGGAAAGGAGCTGCGCGGGGTTAGGAGAGAATAAAATACCCTCGGATTGGAGTGGGACCGAGAGTCCGAAAGGAGGAGATGCCACGAGGGGTCTCGGGCTCCTCAGAGCTTATCCTGCTTCCCCCAGCCGTCCGGAGACGCGGCGGGGAGGCAGCGGGAAGGGAGGACCCGGCCGAGGGGGAAGGTGCGGGTGTGGACACCTGTGAAGGGGCAGCGCGAATCGAATCCACCGAAAAGGCCGGAGAGGCGGCCGCAAAACCACTGGCCAGGCCGGGCAAGGGACCCAGCTCTGCTGAGCGGGCACCTCGCCCGCCAAGTGGAAAAAAGGCTTCAGTAGCTCCTCTCACCCCCTACTAATTTTTTTTTCCTTACTTAAAAAAAAAAAAATACACAAGAATGCTTCTGAAGTCTATTTTTAAAGCTAATACCAATCACAAGGTTAGGCAGTTAAGACCTGGGGTTCGACCTGGTAGCCTGTTGCGAAAATCCCTCACTCTTCCCACGCCTTTTTCGACCCAACCTGCATCCCAGAAGATGCAGTGTGGAAAGAAGACAACAATTCCCCCCAGAAGGTGTCCGTCCTCCCGTTTCGTGCCTGACAGGGGTTGTTCACCGAGGTCGGGAGACAGAAAGGAACCTCTCCCTCCTCTGCTCCTGGAAACCTGCCAGAACCACCGCAGGGGCCAAGGAGCTTTGGCGTTTCAAGAACACCTGAGGGCTCCCAGGTGGAGATAAGCACTTTGCTTTTGCAAATGGATGTCCTGGGAGCTCAGAGATCCTAGAAAGGATGAATTCGAGGGCAGGGAGTGGTGAGGCAGGGATATCTGACACATCTCTCCTCCTGTTTCTGTTTGTGTATGTTTGTGCTGGTTCTGGGCAGTCACTGGATAAGAGAAGACGCGAATCATGTCGGAGTTTTGGTTAATTTCTGCCCCTGGAGATAGGGAAAATTTGCAAGCTCTGGAGAGGATGAATACTGTAACCTCCAAGGCCAACCTGTCTTATAATACCAAATTCGCTATTCCTGATTTCAAGGTAAAATTCCTGGGGGGGAGATAAAAAGGGATGGATTGGTCGGGGGAGAGGGGAGAGGGAGACAGAGGTTGCTACTTCGGGAAGCCAAGGAGAAAGTAACAAGACAAAGGCAGGGACTGTGAGGACAAGCTGAGGTTTGAGGATGGATGGGGAGGTGATGGGCTCTGTGGGACATCATGCCATAGTCCAAAATTAATTGTGGTACTATGCAGGTACAGCCACAGGAAGGAATGAACAGGGGACCAGGGTGTGGGTAGCGGTGTCTAATGCTTCAAAACGTGGGAAGCATGTGAAATACACACTCAAGTTCTCTCTATTCCTCTGGCTCCTCCTGGTTTGTCTGCAACATCTCAGAAGACCAGCCATATACTTTAGATATGCAGGGTCGGAGGCTGTCAGCCCTGATTGTACTCTTGACCTGGGGGCAGGGGAGGAAATCTAGGATCTCTTTGGTCATGCAGGGAAGGAAGGGAGGGGATTTGGAGGCAGAAGGGACTTTGGGTCATGCCCAGGCATCTGAGGGCTCTTGGAGTGGAGGGCAAAATTCAAATGAAGCCAATGTTAAAGAAGAGTGAGACGTGCAATTCTTTTTATTTTATTTTTATTTTTTGGAGACAGAGTTCACTCTTATCGCCCAGGCTGGAGTGCAGTGGCACAATCTCAGCTCACTGCAACCTCCGCCTCCCGGGTTCAAGCAGTTCTCCTGTCTCAAGCCTCCTGAGTAGCTGGAATTACAGGTGTGCACCACCATGCCCAGCTATGGTATGCACACCTGTAATTCCAGGTGTGGAATTATTTTTGTATTATTAGTAAAGACAGAGTTTTGCCATGTTGGCCAGGCTGGTCTTGAACTCCTGACCTCCGGTGATCCACCCACCTTAGCCTCCCAAAATACTGGGATTATTGACGAGAGCCACTGTGCCTGTCCGAAATGCGTAATTCTTTTTTCTTTTTTTTTTTTTTTTTGAGACAG